GGGACCAGCAGTTAGCGTAATGGCTATGTCACTGAACTCCCATGTAGCTGACCACAGTTCGAGTCCCTGACCCAGTGGATTAGTGGCTTAAACTCACGCTGGGCACGCGTGCGTGCCCAAGATTCCAAGAGGAAAATGGAGGAGAAGGGATTGCGGCATGGCTATTCCCCATGGGGGGTGATTTCTTGCTTTCTGTCTCTTGCTCTGTCTCTGTCTTTCTGGAAGCACACGTGCCCTATGGCAAAAACCTCTCCAAAAAAGAAAAAAAAAACCCAGCTAGGCTTAAAGCCCCCTTTTCCTAGTTTCTCTCTCTGGTTTCTTAAGAAAGCCTGCTGCTGTCAACTGGAAATGGCCTCAGGCCACTCACTGGAGAGGACAGCCTGGGGTGACAGGCCAGTATAAAAATGCAGCTGAATCTGCAGCAGTCTTGGAAGTTACCCAAGGAACGTTTTCCTGGAGGGTCATATAAATCTCCTTGCCCACAGATGCACGGACCCAAGAACAGGAGAGAGGGAGGAGGCAGAAGCGTCCTCACTGTGGAGGTGCTGTGGGGGGAGAGAGTGGTGAGGGTAGGGGGGACACACGTGAACTACCTTCCATTTAGCCTGAAAAAATTATCTTCAAAGTCACGAAGTTTCTTTCGAATCCTTTTCTTTTCTTCTCTCATTTCCTGAAGATGTTCTAAGAGTTCAGGTCTAAAAGGGAGAAAACATTTCAAGAAAATTTAATTGGAATTGTTAGAAGTGTCCTTCCCGAATGTGTGACTTGCTAAGGGTCGCAGAGGAAGGAGGAAGCCCGTAAATGCGAAAACTGCTGATGGCCCGGTGGCAGAGATGGCTGCTGTCCCTCCTGGAGGCCCGAGCAGGCTGAGAGCACGTGCTGACAGCCAACACGGCTCCTGGGGCTCCTGCTCCCTACGAGTTCGTAGGCTCTGTGACATCCCACAGCGCTTTGTCATATTTGTCTTTGTAAGAGATGACATCTGTGCTCGGTACGTGATGAATGTCAGGCTGCAGTGTACAGAACCATACAGTGCCGTTTACTGAGACCTTCCGGTTGCTTAAGCAAGATCACAAACACTCCCTCAAATAATATGGGATGAAGCATAAACATTTTTAAAAAACCTGAGCCAGAATTTAAAAAAAAGTTTCACCTACACAGATGCACCCACTTTTGTTTTTGTCAGCCAATTCATAAGAAACTTATTTTCATCAAAATATTTCAATACCACCATCAAAATGACATACACTGGGACCAGCAGTTAGTGTAATGGGCTTTATCGCTGAACTCCCATGTAGCCATCCATGGTTTGAGTCCCGGACCCAGTGGCTTAAACTCATGCCTGACATGTGTGCATATGTGCCCAAGATCCCAAGAGGAGAATGAATTGCAGCACGACCATCCCCCTTGGGGGGTGACTTCTCGCTTTCTATCTCTCTGTCTCTCTCTGTCTGGCGAGCGCACGTGCCCTATAGCAAAAACCTCTCAAAAAAAATAAAAAACTAAAAAGACATACATTGAGGCAGCATGGAGATTTGAAAGCCCTGTGTCCTGGCTGCATTTTGATGGTACTTTATCATCCATGGGGGAAATAAATTCATCAGCATCATCTTCGAATTGGTCCAGAAAGCAACGTGCACTAAAATCCGTTTTCAGGGTGACCGTGAAGTCTGGCTTGGTGTTGCTATCATCTTCTGATCCCTCCTCTTCTTCCTGGAGATAGACAGCAACCCCAATAAAAACCTGGTCATTTTTGGGGGGCACTCTTTCATTGCAAATATCACTTATCACTCATTTTATTATCCAGGTACGCTATGGCATCTTCTATACTTAGATCTAGCAACACGTATGTATGTTACAGATAGATCATTGAGTACATATTACACAGTAAGTAAGATACTACACACAACCACTCAATAGGGAAGATAGCATAGACAACTATTTCTGACAAAAGGATATACAGCATGATTTATAGTTGTCAAGGCTGAGGGTAGGAAGGCGCAACATCATACTTCAAACCTTAAATCAACGAAACAAAAGAATCTAAAAATTTCCAGCTCTGTGACAGTACAAAACAAAATCCACCACCAGTAATCCGTTGTTGTAAAGAATTCTACTACTGGGGCCAGCAGGTGGCGTAGTGGTTACGTCACTGGGCTCCCACATGGCCAACCCTGGTTTAAGTCCTGGACCCAGTGGCTTGTAAAAAACACCCAGCCTGTGTGCGTGCGTGCCTAAGAAATCACACCAGGCATGTGTGCGTGCGTGCCTAAGATCCCGGGAGGAGAATGGAGGAGGTGGGATTACAGTGTAGCCATCCTTCCTAGGAAGTGATTTCTCACTTTCCTTCTCACTGTTTCTCTTTCCATGCCCTAAGACAAACACCTCTTAAAAAAAAAAATAGCTACTACTTACATATCTATAAACTACCTATATATTGTGGAAGGTTTCTTTTTTTGGAGTTGAGACTAGAAATTTTGCTTGATGCTCAAAATTTGAAGGTTGAAACATATTCCCATGATTGCAATCATAAAAAGCATAAGCTGGGCCAGCCAGTGACATGGTGGTTAAGATGACTGGGCCCCACAGGGGTGACCGTGAGGTTTGAATCCCAGACCTGATGCTTGAAAAAAACACCAGGTGCATGTGTGTGTGTGTGTGCTCAAAATCCCAGAGAAGAGTGGAGGAGGGGGACTGTGGCGTGGCCATTCTCCCTGGGAGTAATTTCTTTCTCTCTCTCTCAAGTGGACAAGTGAGCACACGCATCCTAGAACAAATTTTAAAAAAATTTTTAAATTAAGTTATAAGGTAAAACTGATTCCTTCAATGAATAATTTCTCTTTTTTCATAAGAGGAATTAATAATGCCCATCTATGTAGTTTTTGTAAGAACTGAGATAACACGTGTCACATAGGTGAAAACCGTTTTCTGCCCCCTCTTCCTCCCCTAGATGAGACAACATGACAGAGCCACCTGACTATTGTAACTCAGTGTAGGCAGGTGCCTGGGCCTAGTCGCTGCTGTCCCCACAGATTCCCCAGTTTTTGCATATAGCAGGTGCTCAATACATATCCACGAAGCAGTGTAGCGATTCAGTTTTAAAAGAAAACTACAATAAACTAATATTAGGAGAGATTTAAAACCTGATACAGATGACAAGAATGTCTCTACCTTCAATGAACTCATGCGTCTTGGCCTTACAATTACATCTCTAAGTCCCAAGGAAATTTAAAAATCTAAAACTGTGTTTTGCACACAGCATTTAAGTTTCTTTTTTTTGAGATGAACCTAACAAAATTATTCTCAATAATATTTGAAAATCATGGGGAAGAGAAGGGAAATAGCAAAATATATGTTCAGATAAGCCCAAAATGATAAGTGTTGCAAACTGGGTAGATTCTAGAAGGAACGTGGTAAGTAATAATGTCAACAGCCGGGCAAGAATCAGTGATCCATTGATTAGCACTGGCTCCTAAAAAGTCATGAACATGAACCATTTTCCATTTTTTTGATAGGATAATATCTAGATTTCAACCAAGAGCGAGGTGAACAGACCCTAGGAGAGGGAAGCTGGCTGCCCAGATTTCTCCAAGGGAAGACCTATGAGTGCTGTGACCCTGGGAAGGGGCAGGGGCTCCCACCTGACCTCACCTTCCCCAGTCTTTCACCAGGCACTTGGATCTACAAGGCATATTTGCAAAACGTCCTCATGGTAAAGTGGGGAGGGGTGTTTGGTATGTCAGAACACAAAGTCTAGATGTAACGTATTTCATAAAGCTGGAACAGAAGTATGAAAGTAACAAATTGGAAAAGTTTGGGTCCTGTAATTTGGTTAGTGAAAAGAAGCTGAACTCTTAGCCAGTAACACTCCTGGGGAAGGACACTGGGATTATCTAGGCCAAGGCGCATGGTGAGAGTTGGCAAAGAGAGGGTCATAGACTGTGGTTTACAGCTGGGGGTGAGTGGTGATTTTGGCCCCTCGCAACATTTGACAATGACTGGAGACGTTTTTGGTTGTCACAACTAGGGAGAGGGTGGTAGTGGCAGCTAGTGGCTGGAGGAGGCCAGGGACACCGTGCCCCATAACAGCATTATTGAGACCAGAATGTCCACAGTGCTGAAGGGAAGAGACCCGCCCTAGGAAGACGAGCAGCTCATGACGCACAGACAGTCGCATTGGCATGGCCTTGGAGAACTGAAGGGGCCTCGGCCAGCCGGACCAAGGCAAGGGCCAGGCTTAGTGCACTGTCCCAGGTCGGCCACAGCTGGAATCAGTTTGCAGAGGGGCAGAGAGCTGCCTCTCAGCCTGGCAACCACAGCACATGCGGAATGGGAAGAAAGACTTGGAGAGGAGAATATTTCCATGGGACATGGAGTAGGAGTGGGCAGGGCAAGAGGCTCAGGTAAGAGGCAACGTGTATATTCCATGTTGCTCCAAAACACAAGACTTAGCCTACTGGGTAGAAGGCAATACATCGATAAAAACCATGAAATTATAATTTTCAATTTTCATTCATTGTGATTTTTATAATGAGATAGTGCAGGAAGAAGAGAGAAAGAGAAGAGAGGAAGAGAGATTTTTTTTTTTGGAGAGATTTTCACTGTAGGGCACGTGTGCTCGCCAGACAGACAGAGAGAGACATAGAGACAGAAAGCGAGAGATCACCCCCCAGGGGGGATGGTCATGCCGCAATCCCTTCTCCTCCATTCTCCTCTCGGGATCTTGGGCACGCACGCACATGTGCCCGGCGTGAGTTTTTTAAGCCACCGGGTCCGGGACACGAACCGCGGTCGACTACGTGGGAGTCCAGCGACATAGCCATTACGCTAACTGCTGGTTCCCAGGAAGAGAGTTTTTTGACAGGGTCTCGCCATGCTATAATCCTCCTGCCCCAGCCAGTTAGCGAGGCTCACGGGTGCATGCCACGGCACCCAGCCTCTGTAGGTGGAGCCGGGAACCAAATCCGAGCCTCCCTGTGGCTGTGACCACTGCTCAGTGGCACTTTGCTGTTTGTGCCACCAGGCTAGGCCCCATCAATCATGCTATTTTCTACTTACCAAATGCACACATTCTAAAATTACTTATCATGACTTATTTTGCACTTTACAGTTTGAAAAGATAGAAGAAGGGAATCAAGGAGAAAAATAGGCAAGGAAGGGATCCAGAAATAGAAGACTATTGATGATAACATGCATGATAATTTCTTTAACTGGACTTGGGTGTGCAGTGTAGTCATGCTGGCAAAATTCATCTTACAAACTTGTGATGTACAGTGATTTCGGTGTATAAAAGAAATCTGAAAATAAGGTAATTATATGGCTAATAAAATTAAGTTTTAAGTTATGACTGATATTCAGCCCACATAATAAGCAACCTTAATGTCCCTGTCATTGTAAACTTTTCTAGCTTGGGGCTGGAACCCCTTTGGAGGGTCAGTGTCCCTAGTCTGCCCGAGCAGTCTTAGAGGAGCTTCTTCCGCTGAGTAGAACTGACTAGCTGATCTCTGGGCTGGAAACGCTCATGCCTCAGAACTTGAGCCGGCTCTGTTCCAGCCACAGCTGGTTCTCCCCGTAAGCACTGAAAGCCAGAGATGGGGGTTGAAGAAGCCGTTCAGACCTGGTTTTCTCATGTGCACTCACAACAAATTCTAAATCGGGTCAGAATTGCCAAGGATTCTTACAGTCCAAACGCGTGCTAATAAACCTGGCTGTCTGGAACCAAGTGGGGCAAGGGACAGCATTATTTCTAAAAGCAATGTAATGACTGCAGAATTACCTGGCATTCTACCACGTGGGCCAGCGGGAGAACCATGGCCAGAATATCCTTGGGGAAGGAAACAAACTAAGCTGAAGGGCGGAATGGGACACGTGCCCTCCGAGAAGGAGCAGCACTGCGGTGCCCGCAGCTCACGGGACGAGGAGATTCTCATGTGCTGTATTCTCATGTGCTCATGGACACGCTGCCAGCTAATGGCCGTCCTGCGGACCGCTAAGAGAAATGCAGCGGTTCTCATTCACACGATTGCTCTAATTTCCCCCATTATGGTGGTTTAATTCTTGTGTGAAATTACCCACTAGATAAAATTTGTCTTCCTTCATCAACATCAAATCTTACTGTAAGAAACTAGCTCTAAGTTTTAAGGCACAATATATTACATGGCACCAACTTTCCCAGTGTCACATGCACATTTTCATTTTCATAAGACAAGTTCTATTTAAAATAATATAAATAGTGGGACCAGCAGATGGCGTAATGGTTACATCGCTGGACTTCCGCGTAGTTGACTGTGGTTTGAGTCCCAGACCTGATGGATTAAACTCATGATGGGTGTGTGCACATGCATGCCCAAAATCCCAAGAGGAGAATGGAGGAGAAGGGATTGCCATGTGGTCATTCCTCCTGGGGGGTGATTTCTCCCTCTCTGTCTCTCTCTGTCTTTCCAGTGAGAGCATGCACCCTATAGCAAAAATCTCTTCAAAAAAATAAAATAATACAGATAGCGAGCACAGTCATTGCCTATCAGCCTAAAATCGGGCATATACAGTATTTAAGATCTCTTGGGCCAGCGGGTGGCATGGAGGTTAAGGCAGTGGATCCTACATGACTTAAATTGCGGATCAAGTCCCAGACACGGCAGCTTGAAAATCACACCAATCCCAAGAGGTGAAAATGGAGAAGAAGGGATTGCAGTGTGGCAATCCCCTCTGGGGGGCGATTTCTCTCTTGCCCTCTCTCTCTTTCTCTGTCTCTCTCTGGAGAGTACATGCACTCTATAGGAAAAAAAAAGTCCCTAAGGAAAGGAAAAAGAGAAGACTTTGTAGCTTGTGGTGCCTTCCCTACCTCAGGCAAGAGAATGGAGAGGTTCTCAATTGGTGTCCCTCAGTAGGAGAGGCCCCCATTTGAATCGATCGTTTCTAACTACAGTCAACAAGTGACTGCCCCAGGCTTGCCATTGCCACAGACATGACAAGCGTAACTCTCAAACTCACTTCTGCTTGGTTTAAACTCACTCTTTGCACCTAAACAAATGCGAAAAGACGATCACTGGTGTTACAAAATGACTGCCTTTCAGCTTTCATCTCTAGACTCCTGGCTAAGGCAGTCTGTGCCTACCAACAAAAATGTGGAAGAGGCTGCTCCTAGGACAGACCAGTCAGGGCCCCGTGGAGGCACACCATCTGCAGACACAGGTTCCCGCCGCCCACTGGAACCATGGCAGCCACTGACGAGGACTGTCTGTGCACAATCCATGACGACTACTAGAAACAGAGTCAGGGCGTAGGTTCTGGTGCCTGCTGGTCGCAGCAGCGTATTTGCGGGTAAAAGGCAGATCATAAGGTTAGTCCTGAGACCGGAGGGTGCAGGGCAAGGTAAGAGGAAGGAAGAGCAGGTGAAACTGCACCAGTGAATCTGTCAAAGACAACTAGGAAGGCCAGCCAGGTGGCACGGTGGTTAAGGTGGCTGGGTCCTACAGAGCCAACTCTGTGGTTCGAGTCCCAGACCCGCTGGCTTGACAATGTAGAAGGTGTGTGTGCCTGAAATTCCAAGAGGAGAATGGAGGAGGGATTGTGGCATGGCCATTCCCCTGGAGGTGATTTCTCGCTCTCTTTCTGTGTCTCTCCAGCAAATGCACATGCTCTATAACAAAACTTGGGTGGGGGGGAAGACAACTAAGACATTTCTCTGCACAATGATGGTTTTCCATTGGCTGTTGTATATATTGCCTTTGTTAATTTTGGTTTTCCTATAAACTCGACTTGTGGAATTTTAAAAATGAGTTATTTACTTTTATTTATTGTTATTATTTTTTAAATTTAACCAGGGAGAGACGGAGAGAGAGGGAAACTGAAAAAGCAAGCCACCAGGTTCGGAACTTGAATTGCAGTCGGACTCATGGGATGCTAGCACCTTAGCCACCACGCCACCTGCCGGCCATGAAGAATTTTTAAAAACTCAGTCCAATGAGAAAATCTGTTCCTCAAATAGGGAAAACAATAAAAACAAAAGACATTGTAGAAAAACAAAGCAAAACAATTCCTGAAAGCAAAGGAAAAACAAAAGAGACAAGAAAGGGGAAGGGAACGAACCAGCCAGTCTCCAGCATTACGGGGATGTTCAGTCGGGGATAAGCGCCTACTGATTTTTAGGGGAGCTCTAAGAAGTTACTGGAAGGGAAAATCACAGCACCCTCCGGTCACAGTGGGGAGGGGAGGGGTGATGCAGGTAGCAATGGAATAGCAGCTGGAGGTCTTCACCTTTATCTCCTTGAAGAAGGAAGCAGTTTCGCCCTCGATAATTGGCTGCAGCAAAGGGCTTCTCCGCTTGCTGGAGGGGGATCCCTGCGACAGGTGTTGACAAGTAGGTTACAGTCTGAACCTCTCTGCCTGCCCGCCAGCTCCTGCAGCTCCAGGCCTCCCTGACCTCACTGGTCTTCACTACATAGTCTAACCCTCCCCATGAGGCCCTAGCCGGCCAGCGCTCCCCAAGGGGCGGCTCAGGGAGGACGGCAGAGAAAACATGCCGTGCAGTGTGTGAACCCAACACTCGGGAACACAGGAGAAACACCTGCCCTCCCACCGGGCCCTCCGCGGTCACTGCAACTACAAGAACACTTCCGCAGTAACAAGCCAAGGGGACGAGGTGGGCTCGGCGGGCCACCTGACCTCCGCTGCACGTTCGCCCTATTCAGGGACACTCAATAGCTCAAACCAAAGAACAAGGATTCCTTAGGTCTAATCCTTTTGCTTGTTAGTTTCAGGTATTCCACAGGAAATTTCCAGAAGAACAGCTTTCTTCAAGTAGACTCGCCTGAGGTCTCTAGACCAGCCTCCTTCATAAAAACGAGCCCTCTCGGAAAGGAAGTACCACAACCTCCTGGGCCTGGAAATACACCAGGAGCTTCGTGGCGGTAAGAGCAGCAGCTCAAATGCACAGGCATTTCCATAGCAACGGCACAGGGAGGCTGTGTGCTCCATAGAGGGGCCAGAACCCTGAAGCAGAGACCACCACCTCCCCAGGAGACCACGGGCCTTGACGCCCCACTCCTAAGCTGGGACTGGAGGAGAGAGGAGTGAGGCTGGCCGGCCACCCATGGGAGAAGGCTAGTTGTGGCTCCCCACTTGACAAAATCGAAATCCAGAGGCCCAAATGGCCAGGTCCCAGGTCAGTGGCCTTGGAGAACAAGTCCCCATTCAGCAGCCTCCCTGTCTTCCACTCCCTGCTCTTCCCGCAGCCTCCAAGAACAGCCTCTTTCTCAAGTTCCTGAGGGGTTTTCTCCCTGGAAAGGATCCCCAAGGGAGTCCCACTCTTGGGCAGGAAGAGATTACTCCACCCAGGGCCAGGGGACCAGAGAGGTGCCCTGAAGCATGAAGAGGCCTGAGAAAGTGCAGTTTGTCTGGGAAGGGCTGGGAGCAGCCCACCACACGCTGGGTGGATAGGGCTGAAGCATGTCCCCCAGAAGTCCCCTTGTCCCCTCCTGTCAGCTTCAGCTCTGCTCATTTTTGGCCAGGGTGGCCTCAGCAATCTGTGGTAGGGTCTTCATTCCCAAGCTGTGGGTCTTGGATATTAATGACTGGTTGAAACAGGAAAGCCTCTTCTGTGATGAGTAAGCCGGTTAGGGCCCCCTGGACCAGCCAGGCCTGGTACCAACTGCAGAAAGGCATCGTACTCACAATGATGGGGATGGTGTTGACTCGGGACAGGATCTGCTTGACCAGTCGGTACCTGTCATACAAAGGCTTCATAACTTGCCGTTCACTCTTGGTGACCTGAAAAGCAAGGAGAGAGCTCAGACGCTGCTCCTGGTGGACACGCTACCTGCTGCCCAAGTTGCCCTAGACCTGTGGTCCCAGAGGAAAATGGATGATGCCACTTGAGTCTTTTTTCTTGGAGAGGTTTTTTGCTCTAGGGCACGTGTACTCGCCAGAAAGAGAGAGAGAGATAGAGAGACAGAAAGTGAGAAATCACCCCCCAGGAGAGATGGCCATGCAACAATGCCTTCTCCATTCTCCTCTCAGGATTTTGGGCATGCACACACTTGTGCCTGGCATAGTTTAAGCTTCTGGGTCCAGGACTTGAACCACAGACAATTACGTGGGAGTCCAGTGATGTAACTATTACTCCATTTGCTGGTCCTGAGTTGGTTATGTTTTTATAAACAAGATTCTGAGAACAGTAGGAATTCAAAGAACATTGCTGACAGAATATATGGATTGATTCACCCTTGATCCCTAAAATCGGGCTCAGGGCTCAAACAGATTTAAGGGACTGAGTCTTTAGGCAGTGGAGGGGAACTAAGCCCTTTTCCCTGGTATAGTATCTGAAGCCCCTCCTTGGTGCTGCTTCTCTCCTATCAAACTCCAAGCTCCAGAAATAAATCAGGAGTCTCATCCCTCCTCTCCCTTGAAAGAGCTTCCTCTAGGCTCCTGTTTGGCAAATTCCAGATGGAGAGCCGCCTCCCCTGCAGCCTTCTTCCAGCATCCGCCATTCTAGAGACATTCATGTGTTCATGCTCCTCTCGCCACCCCACCTGTGCACACCTGCTACTTCTGCAAACATGTTTATACTCTATAGTAACTGTGTGTCAACACGCGTGCTCCTCCTTCCGATGGTAGCCCCTTGAGAGCAGGAGTTTATGTTTTTGGTATCCTAGTAACTATTTCAGTGCTTGACATCATGGAAATGTTTCATGGTGTTTGTGAAATGAATGAGATCTTCCACCCCCAGCAGCTATGCCCGATCTGTAGGCAGGCATGCATTTTGGTTACTTAAATGAGATGGGATAAAGAAGCTTTGTTCCAAGGGAGCTGTTTTCCTTCCGCTTTCTGTTCCTCTGTACGTGTGATAAGGCAAAGGTTTTAGTGGGAAGGGAGTATTGGCTGGGACCCTGCCTTCTCCTGTGGGCTTTCTGGGCCTTCCAAGTCAACGACAACTCAGAATGATGTGAATATGGATGATCTTTCCCTGCTTTTGTATTTGCCTTTCTGAAAGTGATCCACAGGAAGGAGACTCCAGATAGACTGCATGGCATGGATAGGATACTGCTGTTGGCTGCAGGCTTTTGTGGCTTTATTTTCTATCACTAGCCACAGTAATAATAATGATAGTTTTTATTTCTATCACTTCCATTAAGACACTATTAAAGGGGAAGTGGCATTTTTCTGCTGCTGCACACACTTCCATACTGAAAGGAGTTTTAAAGTGGGCCAAAAAATGACTGTCAAAACTGGAAGGGGCTTAGGCAGTGGCACAGTGGTAACACAGTTAGGTCCACACTGATAATGAAAAGGTCCTGGGTTCATGTCCTGGGGCCTTCCTGGGCATGCCAGGTACACACATGTGCCTGTGACCAGAGCCAGCTGAGACTGGGGTGGATTACAGTGTGAAGACCCGGTGGGGTATACCCATCTGTCCTTTTTTCCTTCTCACATGGAAAAAATAAATAAACTTAAAACAAAACTGGAAAGGGACTTATTATTTTATATAAAAAAGAATGAGGATCAAACTAACAGGTGTCATACCACTACCCACCTACCACTATGGCCGACATGAAAAGACAGACTCAAGTGTTACCAAGAGTGTTGAACAATTAGAACTCTCCTTCCCTACTGGCAAGGGTGGAACAGTCTAGAAAACCATTTGGCCTTATCTACTAAAGCTGACTCACTAATTCAACTCTCATGTCTATACCAAACAAACATGGTCTTAATTCATCCAAAGACACACACACACACACACACACACACACACATATATATATATATGACACCACCCATATGCTATTAACAGTAGAACAGATATATTCCCAAAGTTGAATACTATATAGCAATGAGAATGAATGAACATAGTATATGCAGCATCATGGAATAATCTCAGTAATAAAGGCAGATAAAATAAGCCAAATACCAGGACCAGTAGACAGTGTAATGGTTACACCGATGGACTCCACATGGCTGACTGTGGTTCAAGTTTCCAGTGGCTTGAAACTCACTCTAGGTATGTGGGTGTGCATGCATTCTCCCGATGGGAGAATGGAGGAGAAGGGACTGCAGTGTGGCCAACCTCCCCGGGGGGTGAATTCTCACTTCTTGTCTCTCTTCCTCTCCAGCATGCACACACATCCCATAGCAAAAATCTCTCTCTTAAAAAAAAAAAAAGCCAGACATTAATAAATACGTACTGGCAGATTCCACTACTACAAAGTTAAAAAATAAGGAAACAAATCTACAATGTTGGAAGTCAAGACAGTGGTTTCTGAGTGGGCCCGGGAGTCATGGTGTTGGAAGGGGACATCAGGAGGGCTTCTAAGGGACTGGCACCATTTTATTTCTTGATCCAAGGACTGGCTACCTGGATTTGTTTACTCTGTGCAAATGCATGAAATTATGTATTTATAATTTGGGAAAGATGACAGAAAGGTAGGAATTAATAATATTACCTGAGTTATCCCAGGATTATTTCCATGATCTACATGAGAAGTCAAGGGGTTGGTGACACTACAAGTTAAGACAACTTTTTATTATTTTTTTTGAGAGGTTTTCACTATAGAGTGCGTGCACTCGCCAGACAGAGAGAGACATAGCGACAGAAAGCGAGAAATCACCCCCCCAGGGAGGATGGTCACACTGCAATCCCTTCTCCTCCATTCTCCTCTCGGGATCTTGGGCACGCACGCACACGCGCCCGGCGTGAGTTTTAAGCCATCGGGTCCGGGACGCAAACCGCGGTCGACTACGTGGGAGTCCAGCGACATAGCCATTATGCCAACTGCTGGTTCCCTACAAGTTAAGACAACTTTTCACCCATCCTACAGCCATGCCACATGTAGTTATCGGTGCTGGGTTTGTGGGTAGAACCTGAATCAAACCAATAGTTAAATGGACAAAGCAGGACCCTAGGCGAACTGTCAATAAAAGGCCAGCTGATAATTGTTGGGAAGTTGTTTCTTATTCTTTATTCCTGAGTCATCAGCTGCTCCGGATTCTGCTGCTAAGCAGGAACAGGGTTTTGCATGAAGTTCTCTGAGCCTCTGCTCCCTGACTGATAAATTGGAGAATTGTGATGAGGAGACCTTTAGGGTCCGCAATTACTGGGAAATAACTTTAGGCCAAGCATGTAGTACACTGATTCTTCAAAATACCTTCACTCCTCTTCACAAATTTAGTTTTCACTTAAGTGGTAGTGCTCAATGCTTTTCCAGTGTGTGGAAGCAAGGTTATCACGAAGATACAGTTTTGCAAAACAAAAGAATTACGTAGGGATGAAGATATAATGAGAGAAAGCTGCACTTTCACTGTCTTTGCTTATGATTGAAAGAAATCATCTTTCACGGGTCCACCACCCTCTTTGATTGCTCTATAGCTTTCTTTTTTCTTTTTCAAATTTGCTATAGGGCACACACGCTCTTCGGAGACAGAGACAGTGAGAAGCCCCCCTTACATGGGGGTTAGTTATGCCACAACCTGTCTCTTCTAGCTCTCCATCCTCTTGAGATTTTGAGGGTGCACGTGCGTGTACACACACACACACACACACTCACACACACACACCTGGACTGTTTTTTTTAATGTTGTTTCATTTAACTTTATTTATTGACTTATTATTTTAATTTGAACAGAAAGAGACAGAGAGAGGGAAAGTGAGAATGCAAGCCACCAAGTCTGGGACTTGAACTGTGGTTGGCCATGTGGGAATCCAGTGGCCTTAACTACCATGCCATCTGCTGGCCCCACCAACCTTTTTTTTAAGTTGCTGAGTCTGGGACTCGAACCAGGCAGATGGTCATGTGGGATCCAGGCACCTTAACCACCACACCACCAGCTGGCCTGCTCTGTAAATTTCAGATAATATTTTGAAATGGAAAGAGAATACTAATAACTATCTACATGTAATTATGAGCAAATCTGAATTAGAAATCATGAAGACCTGATTAGGTATTTGCCTGACTTATCTTTTGTGATACTTTCTGTTTTAGCCTCATAAAACTTTTCTATATTTCTATCAATTTGATTGCTATTATTTGGACAGAATCACAAAGGTGAAAGATTAGTTGATTTGAAGATAAAAATAAAAGGGAACCATGGAATATTAGAGTTAGAAAGCCTTATTTTTTTAGATGCTAAAACCAAGCATCGGAAAGGGTAATGATTGGCCCAAGGCTACAGAGCAGGGTCAAGAACCCAGGTTTCCTAACTCCCTGTACTGTTTTCTTTTCATTCAGAATAAGACGTGAGTGAAGTATCTACCGTCTAGTAGGGTTTGACCAAGTTCTCTTAATACGAGGAATACTCCCCTCCAAGCTGAGGATGCTGCCCACCTTGAGTCTGCAAAGATCTCTGCTTGTGAACCAGGACAGGAGAGCACAGCTTTGTGAGAATTAGGCTACAGATAGACAAGACATGACAACATCTCAAACACTAGTAAAACTGAAATTGGGTCCGTCCCCATAGCTTAGTGCTTAAGGGAGCCATTTCCTACATGACTGACTATAGTTCGAATCCCAGTCCAGTGACTTGAATAACTGAGTGTGTGTGTTCCACATCACATGGGATGGAGAAATGGAGGAGAAGGCACTGCAGTGTGACCACACCTCACTGGAGGGCGCTTTCTACTCCCTCCATGCTCCCCATTTCTCTGCCTCTCTCTGGCAAGTGCCTATGTCTTCTGGCAATTAAATAAACAAAACAAAGCAAAAAATAAATCTATGTGTTGGGGAATGGTAACTGTGAGTAACAATACTGCTGGAAAGAGGAGACAAAATGAGGTGGATTCTTGGGCGTGCATGCACATGCACCCGGTGTGAATTTAAACCACCAGGTCCAGGACTTGAACTGCGATCGACTATGTGGGAGTCCAGCAACATAGCCATTAAGCCAACTGCTGGTCCCAACAGTGTTTTAAAATCAGGCGCTGTAGACTTGGCAAAACCCCATGCGTTCTAAGCACTTACTTTTCAAAAACAAAAAAATGGGAGATTGGAATGATAGTTTAGCTCTGAAAGTTCAAGTCCTTTTCTTCCTAAGAGTGTTGTCCAAATGGTGTTATAGTCCAGGAGCCATGGCAATGGCACAGATCTACGAATTACAAGTTCACCCTGATTTTCAAGCTGGCCAGATATCAAATGAACTCTGCTTTTCCTGAGGAGATCGGAGCATCATTTCCAGAGAGAGGCAGAGAGTCTGGCTCGGGACCGGAAATAAATGACACTGATTCTTCTAGAGCATTTGTTCCCTGCCCTGTGAGATGTTGGAATCTGGGTTGAACTGACAGGACGATGAGAAAAAGAAACACTTGCCCATTATACAACATGGTGGGTGAAAAAGCTGAGAAGCTGGATACTAAGAAGAAACTTGAGCCCAAGAAGGCTGATGTCAGTGGTGAGGTTAAAAAGGGTGACCCCTGGGGACCAGTAGATGGTGTAATGGTTACGTTGCTGGACTCCCATGTAGTCGACTGGGTTCCGAGTTCCGGACCCAGCAGCTGAAAACTCATGCCAGGTGTGTCTGTGTGCATGTCCAAGATCCCGAGAGGAGAATGGAGGAGAAGGGGTTGCAGCGTGGCCACACCCCCCCCGCGGGGGGTGATTTCTCACCTTCTGTCTCTCTGTATCTCTGGCGAGTACACATGCCCTATAGCAAAAATCTCTCTCTCAAAAAGAAAAAAAAGGGTGAGCCCAAGGATTAAAAAGTCCAAGCCTCACTGCAACTGAAACCTGGTCCTGGCCCGGGGCATCAGCAGATACTCCTGGTCTGCCATGTACTCCAGGAAGGACTTGAACAAGAGGAAACACTTGGCCACTAAATCCAGGATTGAAAAGAAAAAAGGTGAAATTTCTTGCCACTATCAGAAAACGTTGGTAGAGACAAAAATGGTGGTACCTAGGTTGTTAAACTTGGAAAAACGCCTACATGTTATCCTACTGAAGACATGCCTTGAAAGCTGTTGAGCCATTGCAAAATACCCTTCAGTCATTGTGTGAGAAAGCTGTGAGTCAGCATCACTCCCGGGACCATTCTGATCATCCTCACTGGACACCACAGAGGCAAGAGAGTGGTTTTCCTGAAGCAGCTGAGCAGTGGCTTACTCCTTATGACTGGGCCTCTGGTCCTCAATCGAGTTCCACTGTGTAGAATACACCAGAAATTTGTCATCACCACCTCCATGAAAACTGATACTAGCAAAGGAAGAATCCCAAAACACCTCACCGATGCTTACTTCAAGAAAAAGAAGCTGCAGTAGCCCAGATGCATGCCAGGAAGAGATCTTCGACATAGAGAAGGAGAAATATGAGATTATAGAGCGGTGAAGGTTAACCAGAAAGCTGTGCACTTGCAAATTTTACCAAAAAACAAAGCTGTTCCTCATCTCTGGGGCTACCCACGGTCCATGTCTGCTCTTACACATGGAGGGTATCCTCACAAATTAGTGTTCTACACTTTGTGCCAATAATCTAATTAAATAACTGATATTAAAGAAAAAAGTGAAATAAGGAGACAGGGTTAAGAACTAATATTTTATATTTCTAATGAAAAGACATCAAAAAAACCAAACCAAACAAACAAAAAAACCCCTCTGGGACCAGCAGTTAGTATAATGGCTATGTCGCTGGACTCCCATGTAGTCGACCGCGGTTTGCGTCCCAGACCCGATGGCTTAAACTCACGCCGGGCACGTGTGTGCGTGCCCAAGATCCAGAGAGGAGAATGGAGGAGAAGGGATTGTGGCGTGTCCATCCCCCCTGTGGGGTGATTTCTCGCTTTCTGTTTCTCTGTCTCTCAAAAAAAAAAAGCACACTCGTTCCCTGACTGAATCACACAGGGGGCTATAGGGTGCAGTGTGTAGAACACAGAATTATCCCAGAAATGAGAACTACCATTTAATTAATTAACTAATTTTATTTTATTTATTATTACTTTTTTGAGATGTTTTTGCTATAGGGCACTTGCTCTCACCAGAAAGACAGAGAGAGACAGAAAGACAGAAAGCGAGAAATCATCCCCCGGGGGGATGGCCATGCTACAATCCCTTCTCCATTCTCCTCTCAAGATCTTAGGCACACATGCACATGCACCTGGCATGAGTTTAAGCCAACGGGTCCAGGACGCGAACTGCAGTCGACTACATGGGAGTCCAGTGACGTAGCCATTACACTCACTGCTGGTTCCTAGAACTACCATTTATTGTGCAACCTCCAAAATCACCCCACCCCACTTCTTCAGTGCCAGACATCCTACAGGTAAATGAATGCATGTGTCTATAATGTCATTTAGTCTCCATGGCAACCTATAATAGGAGCCTCTCATGCTGGGTCGCCAGCAGTTTCTAGGTAGCCCAAGGTCCCAGAGCACCTTCGGCAGAACACGGCTCCAGTGCAAGTCGCCGATTCTCAGTGCTTGCACGCTGCCCCGTCCAGGTGGAATGAGCGAGCCTGTGCTCACCATGGAACAATGCGTGTAACAGAACCCAAACCACAAGGGTAAGTCTGCCTAGAATGCAGCTGAGAGCTCTTGGAGGCCTTGGGCAAAGAAGTCTTTCCAAAAGTCTCTCAATGTCCTAACCTGCAAACATTGGAAAGAAGAGACAGAAGAGAAAGAAAGCACGTCATGCCCACCTCCTTCTCCAGGGCCTGCCTCATGGCCACCAGGAGGTTTATACGTAAGGGTTTTGAGCCTGCAGCAGAGGACGGGTTTTTGTCTGTTTAAACACGTTCAGTTCCACCTTGACGTGGTCTGTACACCCCAGCTGAGAGGACAGAGTTTCACAATGTATTTAGCTCCAGAGCGTTTACTATTTGGTTCAATGCCTTTAAAAAATGCGAAACAAAACTTGGCTGAAACATGAATATTATCCCAGAGTGTCAGTGTTTTTCCACTGCAGGGACAAGCCAGCAATCAATCATCGTCAGGGTCAGGTTTTTCTTTCCTTTTTTTTTTTGTTGAGAGATTTTTGTCATAGGGCATGTGTGCTCGCCAGAGAGGCAGAGAGATAGAAGGTGAGAAATTACCTCCTAGGGGAAATGGCCACACCACAATTCCTTCTCCTCCATTTTCCTCTTAGGATTTTGGGCACACATACACACATGCCTGGTGTGAGTTTCAAATCATTGGAGATGGGACTTGAATTGTGGTCAACCAAATGAGAGTCTAGTGCTTTAATTACTATGCCACTTTCTGGCCCCTTTTAAAAAACATTTAAACTTGCAAAATTCAAAACCAATACTATGAAGGAAGCACCTGACAGTCACTGGCGTATACCGTGTGCCGTGTCTCATGCTACACACCGAGGATCAAGTTCAGGACTAGGGGGACAAAGCCCAGAATCCCTGACCTCACAGACCTTAGAGTCTAGTGAATTATTCTGGAAGCTTCTTTATTTAAAAGAACACACTGTAAATGGAAACACCACCTCCACTCTATAGTTATGGCCACAACTAGAAAACAGCCCTTTGCTTTTTGGCCATATAAAATTCATCAGTAAAGGTGAACGTCATTGTTTCCTTATAACTGCTTTTAAGAACTGGTTTTGTTGGGTTCTTGACAACATTCGGAACAGGAGATTATTAACAGTAAGGACAAGCAGTATCGGATTACAAGTTCCACAAGGAAGAGGGCAGAAGCTTATCTTGCTACGTCTCCCCCACAGCTAAGAACATGCACTCAACAGGCCCTGCTGAATACCCAACCACCTCAAATTCTGGTCCTTAGCAAATGGCAAAGCCATAGTTTGGATACCTCACATTTAAGTTCTGAGTGGTAGCTGGGACTTTCTTTCTTATTTTTTTTTTAAGAATTATCTTATTTTAACTTTATTTATTATTATTTTCCAATTTGACCAGTGACAGAGAGAGAGAAAGAGAGACAGAGAGAGAGAGAGAAAGAAAATGAGAAAGGAAGCTACCAGGTCTGGGACTTGAAACATGGTTGTCCATGTGGGAGTCCAGTGCCTTTAACTACCACACTACCTGCCAGTCCCGGTAGCTGGAACTTTCTTTTTTTCTTTTTTTTGAGACTTTTTTTGCTATAGGGCGCGTGCGCTCGTCAGAAAGACAGAGAGAGACAGAGAGATAGAAAGCGAGAAATCACCCCCCAGGGGGGATAACCACACCACAATCCCTTCTCCTCCATTCTCCTCTCAGGATCTTGGGCACACACGCACACGTGCCCGGCATGAGTTTAAGCCACTGGGTCTGGGACGCAAACCGTGGTCAACTACATGGGAGTTCAGCGACATAGCCATTACGCTGATGGTCCCGGTAGCTGGAACTTTCTATAGACAAACACTGGTTTCAACCGCATTGCAGACATTAAATTTTAGAGCAAATCATTCTAGTTTAACGTTGCCATTTTACAGCCTAGAGCCAGTGACAACCTATGGGCCAGACCTAGGGATAAGAAGTCTCTTCTTGTCAGGCTTCTGCACCCTTTTCTCAGCCCCTCCCTCTTTTTCTTTAGGGATGACAATGGTGACTGAATTTTAGTTGCAAATGCTTTTTTCTTTTTTTAACCCAAGTTCAGCATCTATTAAGAGTGTAGAACTCAGGTACTGGCTAAGCCTTCCGAAAGCTTAGTTATGACATAAATGTACAGTAATCTCTTTTATTCTAAAAGTAAAGAAAGCAAACATCAGAGAACTCTATTTGCAAGATAGTCAACATAGAAAACCCAGGTGACTGCCTCGCAAATTTAGCATGTTACCTACCGGCCGGCCGTGAATGCTCTCATAATGCAGCAAGGCTTTCTGGAGGGCCACTTTCTCATTAGCGATCTGATCTTTGGTCATATCCTGTGTAAACATACGGACGGAGAAATGAAGGAAGGGGAAAACATCTGTGGACATTTCTACTTCATTTAATGAAACAAATCCCCTAAAATAAGGTCCAGACCAGTCCTCATCTGACTGTTCTTCCAGGCTCTGTCTGAAGTCCACTTAGCAGGGAGCCACTCCTGATCTCTCGCTAGAAACCCGGTGAGCATAGCAGAGTCTGCACCAGCTACCTGGGTGTCCCGCACAGCAGCAAGGGCCTGTGGGATGCAGAGCTGTGTAGGGCTGGGAGGTGTGCAGGGCTTCGTTTACTGACCCGAGCCATGATTAGTCAGTGGTTACAAAGTCTCAAAGGTTCATCTATAATCCTACAAACCATCTATTAACCTAAATAAGTTCAGTCTGCAAAATATACAATAGAGTTTCCTGCTTTCAAACTTACATTTCTTGCCAAACCCCAAAGTGTCTTAACCATAACTAAGACACTCTGACGTTGTTTGACCTGCTTCTCTAGCACGTGAATGTGGGAGGTTTGGAAAGACATGCCCCTCCCACTGGCATTCCTGGGGCCTGGCCTATGGCTCTACATGTTGGCTGCGAGGCCTGAGGAGCACCTTTCCATCTGGTCACATGTACAATAATATCTTTAACTGGCCTCATATACAGTGTATCCGTGCTGCAAAAATTCACTTTCCGTGCGGTAATGCTATACAGTGATTGAATGCATAAAAAACAATAAAAATCAATGAAATCAACAACCAGGGACTAGAACAGCGGGAAAGAGAAAGAAGCAGCAGCGCACCTTAATGTCCTCAGGACGGCTGCTCTCTGCCCGTTTCTCCTGGAGCTTCCTCTGGATAGACTCCAGTGTGGCTTCGACGCTGGGCTTGATCGCTTTATCCACCAGCTCTTGCTTCTTCTCATCTTCTTTCTCTAGCTGGGAACCAAAACTCTTGGGGAGTGTGTTGCTTCTCTGCCGCATCCTGGGGGTGAGGTCCTCTTCGGAGATCTTTAGTTTCGATTCTAGTTGAGAAGAGTCAAAGGTAGAGACACATGGGAACTGACACCCGCTGCCACGCTAACTGCTCTTCTGTGGCGTCAGGAACGGCTGAGTCCTGTCTCTTTTTGGAGTCTCTAATTATAATACCAGTGGAAATAACTCGAGTCATTCTGTAAAACCTGAGATAATGATAAGGTCTTCTGGGCTGGGAATGATTCCCTAAGACGTTCCTAAGAGAGCCTAACTATTTCACATGCCAGTGTGAGTTCTTGGAATACGGCAGATGTGGTCCCATGCTTGTTCCTCTGGTATTTAAAGGTTTTAAGTGGTGGGACTAACAGATGGTGTAATGATTATGTTGCTGGGTTCCCAGGTAGTGGAGCGTGGTTCGAGTCCCAGACCCGGTGGCTTAAAACTCACGCTGGGCACGTGTGTGTGCATGCCCAAGATGCCAAGAGGAGAATGCAGGAAGAAGGATTGTTGTGTGGCCATCCCCCTTGGGGGTTGATTTCTCACTTTCCGTCTCTCTGGCAAGCGCATGTGCCCTATAGCAAAAACCTGTCCAAAATAATAATAATAATAATAATAATAATAATAATAATAATAATAATGGTTTTAAGTGTTTAACACCCAACCTCTGCCCGGCTTTTTCTGTGTGACTTATATACCTTGTTCTGAAATGGTTTGTACTTTGTATTCCATCTAGCTGTTTATATGACTTTGTCTCTCGGAAGAAGGCAACAAATTCCTCTGTGTGTCTACATGTCTTTCCCCAGCACCATCGCAAATGGAGCCTTGGATTAAACAGGTTCTTCCGAAGGGTGGACTTGGGGCCAGCGGGTGGTATAGTTAAGGCGCTGGACTCCCACTTGGCTGACTGCAGTGCAAATCCCGGACCTGGCGGCTTGCTTTCTCATGCTCCCTACCACCCACCACCTCCATCTCTGGTCAAATTAAAAATAAATAAATAAAATTAAATAAGTAATTCTTTGGAGGGGGAAAAAAAGAAGGGTGGACTCTAAGCCATTAGGGAAATGGAGCAATGCTGCAGACCTTGCCTCTTAGCTGATCTGGCTGCTGTGAGATCGAGACCACAGGAAGACATGGGGAAACCGTCACCCTGAACAACCGAGAGTCACCTTCAAGGAACCTGGAGCGCGCTCGGTGTGAGGAGAGAGGGCGGCCCTGCCTCTGCCTTCCAGCACAGAGGCCAGGCCATAGTCGCAGAGCCGCGCCTACCTTTCAGCTGCTTCCGGAATTTGGCGAGGTCATTGGTCCATTTCAGAACCTCGGGGTTGGCAGCTTTGTCGCTGTGGGAAGGCTGAGAAAAAGCAAGTGTGGAGTCAGTGCTTTGGAACTGGGGCAGAGGGAAGAGGAAGTGTCTGACGACCATTTTCACTTTCATAGGAAGGAAAGGGGGAGCCTCATCAGAACAAGAAAGTAACCAAAACCGACGTCACGGCTGTAATTCCCTCATCCCTCCTGACAGCTTCGCGTTCATGCCCTCAAAGAGTTCCTCAAGGACAAATGCTGGACTTTTATGATCATGCCCTTTTGTGAGGTGCATAACCCACTTTGTTTCTTTCATAGGGTTCAACCTGTAGGACTCACGGAGCAGAGAATAGGGGGATGCAGATGTTTCACACAGCAACCACCATGAGAATGCCTTTCTGTCACTCTGGGGAATACTAAGGGTGCAGTTGACAGGCATTTAAAAAGCTCACAAAGATCATTCCGAATCGAGTTTGAGCCAAACGAAAGGGTCCACTCAATGACCTTTCTCACTCCTGCTCACCGGGAAGACGAGCAGGTGTAGACTTCGCTTTCCAGGCATTGGTGAGGACGTGTGCTGTCGGGGGTTTCTCAGCGTTTACTGCCGCTTTTTATTATTGCCTGTGTGTTCTGAGAGTCCCTAGGGATCTCCCTGCACCTTCTGTCACTGCCTCAGCTGCTGGCATGTGGCAGGTGGCGTGAGGGAACCAGGGGTGACGAGAGAGCTCTGGGAGGGGCACTCACCCTGTACTTCCTCTCTTCTTCAAATCGATCCTCAAACTTCCGGATCTTCTTTTTAAGGCTCTGAATCCTCCGTGTGAGCTGGGCAGGGGTGAGGTCCTCTTGCTCATCATCGTAGGACCCCAGTGAGGAGCTTCGCCGCCTGGGAGGGGCAAGATGTGGGTCAGCAGGGCCTGAAGGGGGCCCTGGGGGGTGCCACAGGCTGGGGGGTGCAGACTCAACACAGCCTGCCGCCTCTTGAATAAAAGACCGTGATGGATTCATTTCATGATAGTCATCTAGCCTTCTTTAGCTCACGGCTACACTGGCAAAGGCAGGGCGGACCAAATATCTACGTTTGCTATGGGTTTAAAATGAAATTGCGAGAACACTGGGAAGGAGCTAAGGAAATTCCCTGTGGGCCTTTGTGGTTGGGCAACAGTTCTACTGGGCATTACAGCATAGCCTGTGTCCTGAGATGGAGACTTCAGACACATTCCTCCACAGACTCATGACTTCACTTTTTTTAATTTTTAATTTTTAATTTTTATTTTTGCTATAGGGTGTGTGCACTCGACAGAGAGAAAGTGGGAAATCACTCTCCGGAGGGATGGTCACCCTGCATCCCTTCTCCTCCATTCTCCTCTCAGGATTTTGGGCACGCACATACATGTGCCCAGCATGAGTTTAAAGCTGCCAGATCTGGGACTTGAACCATAGTCAACCATGTGAGAGTCCAATGCCTTAACTACTATGCCACCTGCTGACCCCATGCAACTTAAATTTTAACAAACTACCAGCCGCCTGCACCATTCCTATCTTTCCGAATATTGTAGGAATGAGACATTTGCTTATCAGCAACACAGAGAAATGTACCTCATGAAAGAATGGGAATTTGGGGGAGAAGGGGGCACTTCTGTGTCATCCAGGTATTGCCGACTCTGCCCATATGCGTAGAACCGAGGAGAGAGCATGGGGTCGCTGTCTTCATCCAGAAGCTGACGGATCAGACGCCCAGCCTGTGGGGAGAGGCGGGCTTCGTCCGAGTCCACATTCTCCCGCTGCCAGGAGGAGGAAGCAGGGATGGGCTCTGGAAAATAACGGTGAGAAGGGGTCACCATGGTTCCAGAACAGTGGCTTCCTCAGTGCTTTAGGGAGCTGTCCACTGAATGGCTTCTCATTTCAGACCCAAAGTCCAGACTAAAACAGCAATTTATCTGATAGCCATCACTGACCTTTTATCTTCATTCTCACTTGCTTTCAAAAGAGAATTTGCTAGGGCCACCCTGCAGTCTAGCGCTCACGGAAGCCAGACCCCACATGGCCTACCGCAGTTTGAGTACTGGACCTGGCATCGAAAATCACACAGGAATAATAATAATAATGATTGGGAAAAACAATGAAAAGATATTGAATGATGAAGTGGGGAGATTAATGTCTCTGTATTGACTGACATGCATGGCATTCCCTTTTGAAAAAGCAATGTAATACACTGTAAAGTTATATGCAATCCAATGTAATATTAACAAGATTATGATGATAATAAAAAAGAAAGAAAGAAAGAAAGAAAGAAGAAAGGTAATCACTCAGGACAGTGTGTGTATGTGCACCCCAAATCCCTACAAGACAGAGAGATGGAGGAAGAGACTACACGAGACCACATTGCATTAGGGATGCTTTCTCTCTCTCCATCTGTCCATCTCTCTTGTGAGCACATACACTCTCCGGCAAATTAAAACAGAGACAAAGAGAGACTGAATTTGCTCGGGCTGCCCTGAGGAGTAGCCCTGAAAGTGGAGAGCCAGTAGTGCAGCCAGTAGTCCAGCCTCCCCAGCAGACTGGTGACACGCACTTTCCACAGGAGGGCATGACTGAAGAAAAGAAAAGCCAGTGTGTCAGAGGGCGACTGGGCATCACAGCTACACAGTCCTGCACTGAAGCAACAAAGAAATCAAGTTAAAGAATCCCATTAAGCTTATGAGCGCCTATTCATTTAGAAGTTTACAACTTCCCTAGAGGTCACCCCGTAAGCTGTTTTGTGTGCTTGGGATTAGCAGGGAGGACGCCTGCTTCGCACTTGAAACTTTAGAAGGTACTCAAGACTACAGTGAGAGTAGATGCACCAGGAATCAGCCGCAACAGGGAAGAGAGTCATACACGCACAAATATGTCGAAGTTATTACAGACAATCCATAGGAAAAACAGAACTCGGCACAAAATCCTGATCTGGCATGCAGGGAGGGAAGAGGATATTTATTTCCATTTACTGTGAGATCCACCTCATTAGGAAAAAAAAGTGTGTATGTGTGTGTGTGTGTGTATACACATATGTGTGTGTATATATATATATATATATATATATATATATATATATATATATATCAGAATATATATATATGTATATATATCAGATTTTAAATTTCAGAGACATAGGGTATTTCAATTGCAATACTCTACATCTTAAAAAAGAAGTTTTTTATAAAGATTTATTTATTTTAAAATTTTCACTTATTATCATTATTCTTTGGTTTAGACCAGAGAAAGACAGATAGAGAGAAAGGGAAAGTGAGAAAGTAAGCTGCCAGGTCCAGGACTCGAACTGTGGTCAATGACATGGGAGTTCAGTACCTCAACCACCATGCTACTTGAAAGAAGTTATGCTTTAAATTCAATTGGGGGGGGGCAGCAGGTGGCATGGTGGTTAAAGTGCTGGACACTCCCACATGGCCAACTACAATTTGAGTCCCAGACCTGGTGGCTTGCTTTCTCACTTTCCTTCTCTCTATGTATCTGTCTTTCTAGTCAAATAAAGATAAATGAATGAATAAATAAATAGAAGTAAATAATTCATTTAAAAAAATAAATTCAATTGTGGGGGACGGCATGATATGGTGGTTGAGGCACTGGACTCTCACATGACTGACCATAGTTTGGCCTCTCGGACCTGGCAGCTTGCTTTCTCGCTTTCCTTTTCTCTCTCGTCTCTCTCTGGTCAAATAAAAAAATAATAATAACAAATTAAACAAAAATAAATAATTCTTTAAAAAAAATTGGGATACCTGTGACTTACACAAGGCTGGGATTTGGTCAGATTCCGAGATCCCTAGAACCATGAAACAGTTGCTCCTTCAGTTATATAAACTGTACAAAATTGTCTTATTAAATAAATGATTTTCAGCATTTTACTTAAAAGATCATGCTATGATTATAGAATTTTTGATCTGCATGTAACTTCATATAGCACTAATCTTGTAACTTCTCAACCCTGGCTGTGCACTACCAAAAAAGAAGAAAGAAAAGCAACTGAAATAACTCCCACACGCAGCCTTCATACCACCTAACTAAACAGAGCCTTCCCGGGAGGGCATGGGAATGCCCCTGGTCCCACTCCCACCCTGCACGTTAAAACGATGCTCCTGTGATTCTAATATGCAGTCCAGTTTGAAAACCTCTGATTAACCCAACAGCTTACAGGGAAGCAAACAACCCCAAAGATGTCAAGAGCGATGAGTAATCCATGACAAGAGCTGGGACGCGAACCCGAGTCTCCTGGCTTCCAGATCAGCACTTCAACCTGGAATGTGCCAAGGGCTTCGATAACAATGATGGTCGTCTGAAATGTCTGAAGTCCCCATTGTGTAATCGGGAAGATAAGCCCATGATTTAAAAAAAACATGAACCTCACGTGGAACGAGGGCCACTGCTTCTCAAAATATAAAGAGAATAAAAAATATATATATAAAGAGAATCAACACTACTACTGTGAGAAATGAAAGCAGGGTAAAGGGTAGATTCTTGTCTACTGAGGCTCAAAAAGTCGCAGGGAACATGTGGGTAGATACACTTGCTGCAGCTGGAGATGAGCAGGAGGCCGGCGTTTACACCAATGCCATCGGCAGGAACTCCTTAAGGAAGCAGCTTGGAACCGCCACTCAACAAAGAGTGAAAACCCATCTGAGTGGTGAGGTAAGGACAGGTAAGCAGAAAGGAATCCGCAGGAAAAAATTTAAAAATCCAGTGTTAAGTTGCAGAAAATGGAACTAGTAAACTGACAAAACTACATCTTCTGTTCCATGATATTTCAGAAGACAGCAGTAATTTTCTGTAAGGATTAAAAACAATCGAGCCAGGATGGGGAAAGGGTTAAGGTGACTTGCGTGATAATGCATCAGGCAATAGCCTCACAGCAGACTGCAGAGGAGAAAACCGCGGGGAGGGCGAGAGGCCTCAGTGGGGACAGACGGCTTTGGCCAAATAAGGTCCAACACTGGCATGTGGGTATGCTGGTTAGTTTGACATTGTCCCTCATCAAACCTTAGTCTGGAAAAGCATTACTTGCATCCGGAAGCCCTTTCACTTGTCTTGAGTCTAGCAGAGCATCGCTTCAGAAATGTCCCAACGTTTAAGTTTCAACCTGTCATCTTGAAGTTTTTAACTCTATGTTCTCTGTACAAAAACATCTGCAAGGAGAGTGTCTGTACCCTTTAACCAAACATATCTCCAATAAAAAATTAACTGTGACCTTGAAGTCTCTATCAAATACCAGTAATGGAACTGAATGATCGTGTTAGGCATGTAAGGCTAGCACAGGGCCAACCATCAGTTTTCTTCTGTGTTAACACAGCTTTATTCTGGGTCCCCCATTCTTTTTTTTTTTCTTTTTGAAGAGGGTTTTGCTATAGGGCGCGTGTGCTTGCCACCCAGCCTGAGATAAGAGACAGAAAGCAAGAAATCACCCCCCAGGGAGGATGGCCATGCCGCAATCCCTTCTCTTCCGTTCTCCTCTCGGGATCTTGGGCACGCAGGCACATGCGCCCAGCGTGAGTTTTAAGCTGCCGGGTCTGGGACGCGAACCGCGGTCGACTACATGGGAGTCCAGCAACATAGCCATTACGCTAACTGCTGGCCTCAGGGTCCCCATTCTTGAGTGATCACTTCACTGAGAGCAAGACCAAGTGTATCTTTCCCCAGTGTGGCTGGTGGTATGCAGGAGATGCATAGCTGGAGAAATGATAGCTGATGGGTGACATTTTCTCCTAAAGCATATAATTTGAGCAAATGAACTTACTTAAAAATGACAAATGGAGGCCAGCTGGTGGCATGGTGGTTAAGGTGGCTGGATCCCACATGGTCAACAGCATGGTTTGAGTCCTGGACAAGGAAGCTTGAAAAACACACGAGGCATGTGTACATGCATGCCCCAAATCTCAAGAAAATGGAGAAGGGATTGCAATGTGGCCACCTCCGCAGGCAGGTGCTTTCTGACTTTCTCTCTCTCTCTCTCTGGTGACTTTGTGTGCCCTATACCAAACATATATATATATATGACAATATAAACCAATTATGATTTTTAACTTTAACAAGATAATAAAGAATGCTTCACTATTGGTCCACAGGCAGAATAGAAGTTGAGTTTCCTACATATGCCGCATAAAATGCTTACGTGATTTCTCTTTCCTTTCTCTCTCTTTTTCCCTCATTATTCTGTCATATAATTTAAGAATCCCATTCAAAGGGTATAAAATGACAAGTAATATATAGTCAAAATGATCAATAGAGAATCAATAAAGCCAACTATTATCCCGTTTTAGATGGAAATGACCTAACAATACACGGCTAGCTCACGTTTCATGTTGATGATTGCTTAGAAAACAAGAACTGATCAGAGCAGTGTGGCTCATAGTCCAATACTCTGGGCAGGTAAGCCTGCTCAGAGAGGCTGTATCTACTGACTTTTTGCAAGTGTTAGATTGTAAATATTTTATATTTTAAAATATAAATGAAGTGAATAATGAAACAGACGAGGGCACTGGCAGAAAATGATTCCGGGGCAAACAGGAAAGGGCTGAGGTGACGGAACTAGACTTTCATTCTGAAGCGCGGCATCACATAAAAGCATTTTCATTATCTGGGCCAGAATTCCGAGGGTGCAGTGGTGTTGCTGTTAGTCATGTGCCTTGTCACATTGAACTCTGGACATAAGTATGACATGTCCCTCCATTAAAAATTAATCCACCTCGGTCAGCTGCCATCACAGCAGGTCAGAAATAGCAGAGATAAAAGCCCATGTTGCTACCCAAGGAGTGACAATAAGTGGGTCCTGAGGGGTTCCGGGTCAGACACTAGCGCACCTGTAGGAATGAAGGAAGGTCACCGCAGGGAAAGGGAGCAGAGCTCCGAGCAGTGCTAACGTGGTCCCGGGACCCGGCTCTCTCCTGAGCTGGCTGAATACACCCACTTTACAAAAGAAAACTGGCTACTGAGATTTATTTGTAAGAAATCTGCACGGATTCAGGGAGCTGTGCGGTCCACATTTCACTTGCTCCATGTTGTTCAAAGCCATCCCTACTTGGCGTGATGTTGTAACACCTTTTTTTTCTCAGTTGTGCTCAGGAACTTGCACATCCCAGACACAGGAGGGTGTCCACACCATCTTAATTGGGGAATCCCCTTGACAAAAATTTCCTGCATGTGCCAAAATTTAACCTTAGGACAATGGGATTCCTATTCAATTATTCAAATAGTCTTGCTAACTATCCAAGTTGGAAGGAACCTTAGGAGTCAACTTTCACAATCACAAATATAATCCTTAAAGTTGCCCCTATGTGCAAAGTTAACAGACTCTCCATCGCTCCATTTCAATCATTAATAAATGTGGGGAACACCAAAGGACAGAGGACATTACCTAATGAGAACCACCCTCCCCATGGGAGCTGACTTATTAAATCGTGGATCTACATGTTTATGTACAAGTGCTTAAGCAGGGACCGAGTCACTACCCCCCCAACCTTTCATCCCTCCACTTCTCTGACAAAGATGCCACCAAGGCCCTGTCCAAGGCCCAGTGGAGGTCTTGTCCCTGATCCCGAGATTAGTAGTAACACCATCAGAGAAAGAAAGGAAGTTGGCAGGATGTGGTTAATCCTTAGTAAACCCACAAAGAACCTAGTAATGATTGGTCCCTCTTGTGAACGCAGAGCCATTCATGGCCATTAGGAAGAACTAGGATCTGGTTAAGAGTAGGTGAACTTAGACTGGCTTTTCCTATACTTGGAAATATTTTCAGGAAAACAGTGACGACTAACATTCACCTGGTGCTTACTGTGTGCCTGCGCTGTGCAGAGCACTTTGCTATTTTAGCTCATTATATCCTTACGACATATTTACTGGGTTTACTAATATACCTATTATTAATCGTTTCTCTATGGCTATGATCCCTATTTAAAGATGAGGAAATTAGGAGTAGCCTGTGGCCTGGTGGTTAAAGCTAGATCCTGTCCAGATGACTGTGAAGTTCAAGTCCCAGACCTGGTGCCTTGAGAAACATACCAGTCACGTGTGTGTGCATACCCAAAACTGTGAAAAGAGGGAGACATGGAGAAGGGACTGCGTGACCATGCCTCATGTGGGGTGTTTTTCATCCCCCACATTTTTCTCTGGCCAGTGCATTAATCTTCTAGCAAATTAAATACAAACAAACAGATGAAAAAATGAAGGCCAAAAATGAGACAGGTTTACTAACTTGCCCATGAAACGGGTTAAGCGGCAGGGCTGGAATCTGAGTCTAGGGAGCCTGGCTCCTGCCCCTCAGTCTACTGCCTGCCATGACACGTAACTGCCATTCTTTCGAAAGAGGCTTCAGATAGAAGTCAGGAGACTTTGCTACTTTAACGATTATTTTGCCTCTTTTGGCCTTAGCTTTCTTGTCTGGATTATGGGAGGTTCAACGTGAAAATAACTTAAGACCCTTTGTTTCTCTATGCTTCTTTTACAGGATTTCCTTTCCAAAGTTCTTTTTTTTGGGAGAGATTTTCACTATAGGGCGCGTGCGCTCGCCAGACAGACAGAGAGAGACATAGAGACAGAAAGCGAGAAATCACCCCCCAGGGGGGATGGTCATGCCGCAATCTCTTCTCCTCCATTCTCCTCTAGGGATCTTGGGCACGCACGCACACGCGCCTGACATGAGTTTTAAGCCACCGGGTCCGGGACACGAACCACGGTCGACTACGTGGGAGTCCAGCGACATAGCCATTACGCTAACTGCTGGTTCCCTAAAGTTCTTTTCAATAAGCCATCAGTGATGAGTGAGGTAAGTGAAGTCCGCTGTGTCTTTTGAAAAATTCCCTTTTAAACTTAATTTCACCAGGACAAATTGAATAGGGTAGCTCGTGTTTAAACCCTTCCACAATACCCCCAAATCAACATGAATTGGCAGCTTGGGGACATTCTGATTATGCAACATAAGGACTTTAAATAGTACAGAAATAGCACATTTGATTTGTGTATTTATTTAACTTTGGAGAGTGGAAACCTAATAAGAATGACACGGTCATGCGGACAGATCAAGTAGTGCACCCCATTACACAGCTACGTAGGTACATAGATGTACGTATACATGAACATGTGTCATACACACATAAAGCATGTTTAGTATTTGCCAACAAGCGTGATCTGATTCCATTCACTGTGAGAGAGTCCCGCCCCACGCAGCCTATGGAGTCTATGTATTAGCTTAATTTCCTTTTTTGTTTCTTTGACCATAAGCAGGAGAAGCCAGAGGACATTCCTCAGGGCAGCATACAGTGTGGAGGCGGGCCCCAGAAGCCTGGTCACTAATTACTGCCTCCCTCCAGGGTCTAGGACGCTGCCATTGGTGAGAGCATGAACTTCCACATGGGGAACACACAAGCAAATCAAAAGGGGGGGGGGTACACTGGCTGGAGGCTCGGCGGCTCGGAGACTCGGAGGGAGGCCGAGAGATGAATCCTGGTTACATCATTTTGGGACTAACTACTTCCATTTAGATGTGTTCTTGCCTGGGTTTTACATTCTCAGCTTCAATTAGTGCAAAGTTTACTCCCTATTAGAAAGCCACCATTTTGTTTGTTTCTTATCAAAGCTATAAAAAACATGATATTTTAGTGATTGGACTTATTGCTCACATTTCATCTACCCTTTAGACAGAAATTAGACTTACAGCTACCTAACAGTGGTAAAGTGTAACTTGGGATGTTAAAATAAGTATATAATGTTTAGTAAATAAGCATATACTTATTTCTTAAAAAGTCTCTGAAAGGAGGAACAGATGACCACAATGACCTTGAGATGAATCCACAAAGATTTAAAAAATATTCACATTGAATGACAAATGCAGTAATTGGCCAAACACACACACACACACACACACAACAACCAAGCTATCTCATCAGTAACAGGCAATACAATTCACATTTCTATTTTTTATTACTCCATCAATCATTGTGTATCTCTCGCAATTCTCATTTCTAACCCTTTTGAAATGTAATGTATTTTTCCTAATAATCTTTTAAAAAATCTATCTAGATTTTCAAAATAAAATGTTGGTTCCTTTATATTATTATTATTTCTCTGGAAGAAAGTTCTTTATATTAAGTTAACTATGAAATAGTTGTAACGAAAGTATAAATTGGATTTCACCTACTCTAGGGAGTCTATTTTTCTTTATCTGAGCCTCTTTAAACAGGGTGCCAAGAGTACAAGTTTATGATTAACTAAGATTAAAAATAATCAAATTGAGCACATTTTAGGAAGCAGAGGAGGAAAAAGACAATGTGGTGTATCTGAATTTTGACCCCAAGTCCTAGTTTTGATCAAAGCTTTAAGGCAAGCCATATCAGTACACCCAACTATAGCATTTATTTTGACTGCAGTTTTTTTCCTTTATTTGGGTAACAATGATTACTACAGGAGTTGGGGGGTCGTGGATTGTGGGTTTTAATGTATGCATTAAAACCTAATATGTGATTATTTCAAAGTATGTAAAAAACAAACAAACGAAATAATCCCTGGGAATATATCATGCAAATTTAAAATGAAACAATCCTGCCTTTTTTTTGCTCAGAGAATAGATTGTGTGATAGAAAGGTTGGATGAAATCTCAGATCCACTGCCTAATTATAAGGAAAAAACTAGGGCAGTGTTCTTAGATTGCTAGGAGAACAAGAATAAAAATAATAATAATAATAATAATAATAAAAATACCCCAGTTTATCTGTTTTTCAGTGAGGCCTGGGATGCCAAGAGGCCAATGGGTGGTTCTTTTTTACCCTGTGGTCTTCTCAGATTGCTTTTTGATCCTTCATCTAAGATCATTAATACAACGAATATTCCCTAGCAAAAATAAAGGAGGGAAGAAGGTAGGGATGGGAGACGAGAAAAACCAGACACAGAAAAGGACAGATTTCTGCAGTTGGGATTCTCTGCTAAGTCATTGTGTTAGGTCACGCTGCTGTTCTGAATTGGGGAGCACAATTTCTCCTTTGTCCTCGTCTTCCGGACACACACTAAAGGCAGACTGGCAGGTAACTTGAATACACACTGACACCAGCGTGCATGCAGACACACGGATAACGAGAACAGCAGCAGCTCTGGAGAGCCGCTGGGGCATCCTCCCTCACACAGTGTTGACAAGGTTACCTTCGTCTTCCTCAGTAAATTCCTAACATTTCCACCAACAGTCTCTGGAAAAACCAATCTAAAACACTGCGTAAGTGACTTTTGCTGAGAAGCACGTTTATTCTTTGATGAGTAAATCCCATAAGTTTGCTAACTTGGATTTCAAAAAAATCTATGCATAAAAACAAACATAGAAGCAAAGCAAATACATCTTTCTTGAACAATGGGAAGGAGATTTAATGAAGAGAGCGTGTGATGGGCAGGTTGTATTGGGGGGAAGATCAGGTAAACTGAAGGAGGAGATCCTAAAGGCACATTGGACCCTTATTATTCTGCTCGGTGCTATTAGAGGGAAAAGACACGCATTTATCAGCACTCCTGATGAGTTCAAAGGGATTAAAAAAACAGCACTGCAAGGTGCCACTGTGATAAAGGGCGAGCACATTTTTTTTTTAAGATTGTGACCATCCTTGGCAATATTTAACCTGGCCAGGTGAAGGATTTGCAGTCATTTGGAAATGTGGTTACTTCTGCATGCGTAGATAGCTCTCACTGTCACCCACACACCACCCGGCTATGTGCCTCTCGTTCATGCCTATCCGTACACGCTTTTCTGGTATTCAACGATCCAAGCGTCAGCCGAGCCTACCTTCCCAGGTCTTCTCGTCACACAATGCAGTCAGGTCCAGCTGGGGCACTTCAGAGACAAAGCTCTCCTGCTGGCCATCGGCATCTTGATTCCGGGGCTGTTTGGTGTCAGGTAGACTGGGATGCTCCTGAATCTTCATTGTGAGGTTCTGCAAAAATAGCACAATGTCCCCAAATTGCTGCTGCTCACCAAAACCCCAAAATGTCTGCAGCAATTCCACTCCTCCTGCATGAAACCTCCCAAGCCACAGCTGTTAATGCACCCAGCACAGAGATCAAAATCATGGCTTGATGCCGCCCGGATACTAGCTGGCCACATGCGTGTAAAAAGCAACGGTTCCTCTGCGCTCCTTTAACTTTTCTTCTGGGAGAGAGACAGGAGGATTTCCTCGGGGCTGCTCTTCCCAGTAACTGCAGGCAGCTGGCAGTCTTGAAGATTACTGATTGGGGCCAGGAAGGAGGGAAAGGAGTTCGTTGTTTCCTTAAAGGAGTACGGCTCTCCAGACTGTAAATAACAACAAAACCTGGCTACTGCAGTCGCTGAGGCTGGAAGAGTAACATGGTGTCTTTTCCAGGGAGACTTCTTTGCTCCTTAGGTAAACAGTCCTGCCAGGCCACGGGCACCGGCTGTGTACCCCAAGCTCCCCTGCTGGTCCTGCAGGCTTAGATCAATTAAGCAGGACCAGCGACACATTCCCAGATTTCCTGTGGTTGTTTTCTCACCCGGTATGGGGAACACAGCCTATTTATGGAGGAACTCTGGGTATTAAAGCATTGTTGCGCAAATTCAAACAGCACAGGGCTTTGGCGTCTCTCTCATCTCTCTCATCTCAGCTAGCGGTAAGGAATACCGACTCTGGAAAAGAGCCAAAATCACACAGGCAGCATGACTTTTTTTTTTTTTTTTCTTTTAAAGTAAAAAGCCAAGAGCTGGCAAGTCAGCGATGCATAATTTATACCTTACAAATATGCAACTGTCACTTGTTTTCCTACTATTCATCTACTCTGAATATTAAATACTCTGCTACACTTGGTTCTGCTAGACAAGGCTCGGACATCTGAGAGGCAGGGAAACTTCCAAAGGCTCAGTGATTTTATTTTATTTATTTATTTTTTAAATAAATTGCACTGGTTTTAATTCTATTACGTTGAAGAACTCTTTTCTTTTTTCTTTTCTTTTCTTTTCTTTTTTTTTTTTAACCTTGCCCTTTTGGCATTTGGTAAACCCAATAATTTTTACTCCACCCACCTCACAAAATTACAAACAAAAACGTTCATAAAGCATTTACTCTCACATATATTTCTCCAGTAGCACAAACGATTTTTTTTGGGAGTAACTACAAATGTATCTTAGCAAATACCCTGTCATTTTAAAAAGCTAAAAACATCTGGAAATCATAAATGATTTCATTAATGTATGAGAACAAATACTCTGCTACACTTGGTTCTGCTAGACGAGGCTCGGACATCTGAGAGGCAGGGAAACTTCCAAAGGCTCAGTGATTTTATTTTATTTATTTATTTTTTAAATAAATTGCACTGGTTTTAATTCTATTACATTGAAGAACTCTTTTCTTTTTCTTTTCTTTTCTTTTTTTTTTTTAACCTTGCCCTTTTGGCATTTGGTAAACCCAATAATTTTTACTCCACCCACCTCACAAAATTACAAACAAAAACGTTCATAAAGCATTTACTCTCACATATATTTCTCCAGTAGCACAAACGATTTTTTTTGGGAGTAACTACAAATGTATCTTAGCAAATACCCTGTCATTTTAAAAAGCTAAAAACATCTGGAAATCATAAATGATTTCATTAATGTATGAGAACTGTCCTTATGCTTAAAATACAGCACTACTTAAGACTCCCAGCTATGTTTAATAGCTATCCAACCCACTGTGAAAGCACCAGGGGAATAGACAACACTTTTACTATGAGATTTCCATGAAATGATGCAGGAGTACTGGTATTTTTTTCACATTTGGGATAAATTGCAATACCATCAATCAAGTCACGATGAGCTACTCATGTCAGATGGAAATGTTAAGTACATCTGAAGCTTTAAGACATACTAAAAAATGCTGTCTACCAGGAAAAAAACATTATGCATTTATGTCATACAAGTTATTTGTCTCTGAGCTGAATCCTAAGAGGACCAGGGCTGAATGTTCAAATCTGGTACTCAGCTTAAGAGTTATAGGGTTGGGGGACCAGCAATTAGTGTAATGGCTATATCGCTGGACTCCCATGTG